TCCGGTAAACTAATTCTTAAAGCATCACCATTAAAGCCTTCATACATTATGCATGATCATGGAAATATAGGTTCCGATAAAGAAAGAAAGGACTCCAGATGTTCCAGAACAAATTAGAGGTCTATCAGGAAGATGAGAAATTAAGTTCTCATCTAAACAAATTCATAGTGAACTATCACATAAATCGTGAGGTTTCGAAACTGCAAATGCACAAATAACGATCTCAATTAATTCGAATATTCTACACGCAATTCTCACGTTCCCATTTTTGTAAATCGTTTTAATTGTTACTTTGCGCGGACATGACTAATTCACTTAAAAATATTACATCTGTCAATTCGAAAGTGTTGGAAGATTCAATAGCCAAAGATTCCTATTCTCTATGGAAATCGAGTCAAGCATTCTCAGGGTACCAACGCGAAACCCAAGAGCTTCGTCTTACGTGCATTGGACTGGTGAGTCAATAGGACTCCAACGCTCATGGTGAGGTATGTAAGACCACCTGGAGAGAAGCCATTGACGAAATTATTGGCTAACCGGGCAGCCAATTATCTGTCAATTTCGATAAAAGCCCTTCTACTCACTCTAAAAGAGGACACTTTTTTTTAGAGTCGGAAATCAACTTTCTCACACTTTCTGCTATCCAAATAGTTACAATTGTATTAATTACTCAAGTGTTGAGTCCAATTAGAAAATTTAAGAAATTATTAAATAAAATATGGACCTCTTACTCCCAACAGGGGATGGACATTGTGGACTGAAGGCGCTTGAAAGTGTGTAACAATGTTGTCGTAATTGAGATTGAGGAAATAAATAAGTGGGAGTGGGAGAGGGGGAATCTTAAATTTCTGAGATTTTATGTTACTCCCAGAGGGGTGTGCGATAGACTTACCTCCACGTGGTGCATCCCGGGCAACATATACTCATACGGCAAAAAAGTCTATTAACTGTATGTCAAATTCGACTACTTCAACCGAACTCACCTCACCTTTTTTCCAACTTTGTGTCTGTCTCTTTTACACCTTTGAAACATTCTTCCCCCCCCCCCATCTCGACCTTTTTCACTTTGATGTTCCTTCCCCTCTGTGAAGACTGAGGTCAACTAAAGGGCTAATGATAACTATCAAAACGCCTGCCATTTGATATAAATAAATAAATAAACTTTTCAACATGTAAGGGATTTACTAAGGCTTACCCACGGGTTTATTTGCATAATATCTCCAACAGCCTTAATACGTTAGAAAACCGGATTTGTCATTGACATTGATTTCAATGTAGGATGTAGAATTAAGGTCTCAAACTTAAGGCCGAAATCATGGACCTCTCTGACAAGAATTTTTACGCCCATAGTATAACCACGTTGTACAACAGAGTTTGCCTGAGCCAATCCTCAAGTTATCTGGGTCCCCCCATTATAAAATTTACACATCAATTATAACGAACGAAAAGGAGGTCCCTTGCTCAACAATTTGTGGACATTCCGATAGGAAAGGCATCCATTTGGACTTTTGCCCCCAATAAGCAATATCTTTATGACTCGCGACAAAATATGCCCGAAATTCTCATCCCAGACCACTCCCATAAACAAAATCAAATTTTGCATTCAATTGTGTGTTTGACTCCAATTTCCGACGGTGAGTGGAGATAGCAAATGGAGAGGTGCATATTTCGCTTTGTCCAAATGATAATTTTCGCTATAAACTATTGGAAGGAAACCGTGAATGTGGGGGGAGGGGAGGAGAGGAGGGGNGGCTAACCGGGCAGCCAATTATCTGTCAATTTCGATAAAAGCCCTTCTACTCACTCTAAAAGAGGACACTTTTTTTTAGAGTCGGAAATCAACTTTCTCACACTTTCTGCTATCCAAATAGTTACAATTGTATTAATTACTCAAGTGTTGAGTCCAATTAGAAAATTTAAGAAATTATTAAATAAAATATGGACCTCTTACTCCCAACAGGGGATGGACATTGTGGACTGAAGGCGCTTGAAAGTGTGTAACAATGTTGTCGTAATTGAGATTGAGGAAATAAATAAGTGGGAGTGGGAGAGGGGGAATCTTAAATTTCTGAGATTTTATGTTACTCCCAGAGGGGTGTGCGATAGACTTACCTCCACGTGGTGCATCCCGGGCAACATATACTCATACGGCAAAAAAGTCTATTAACTGTATGTCAAATTCGACTACTTCAACCGAACTCACCTCACCTTTTTTCCAACTTTGTGTCTGTCTCTTTTACACCTTTGAAACATTCTTCCCCCCCCCCCATCTCGACCTTTTTCACTTTGATGTTCCTTCCCCTCTGTGAAGACTGAGGTCAACTAAAGGGCTAATGATAACTATCAAAACGCCTGCCATTTGAAATAAATAAATAAATATTACTCCCAGATCATTCAAAACAATCACGTGGAACGTTTCCCATTATTATTATCATCCACGAAGAGGCTAACAAAGTTAGTAAATTTTTACTTAAGGGAAAACATTTGAACAGGGCTAACGTCATACAAACCAATTTGTACATTTCCACTTTCCCTTGACAACGGACTAGTTCATTGAGACTTGGGGTAGGGGCTTCAGTGACAAATTTGAATAAATTTAGAAAATCATTTGATCTATGATACCTGGTTAAATACTGTTTCCTTGACAAGTAGAGTACACTGCTTCATCTTCAAACTAGGTTTCGCGTAATCTAGAGTCTACCTTGAGTTGCGGCTAAATGGTAGAGGTTGGTTTGATTTTTGGCATTTATTTTTTTTTTCTCTTAATATTCACAACTTTGCAGAAAAGTACTAGCTAGCCATATTCCCCCCCCCCCCCAACCCCCCTCCCCCCCATTCATATATAAATTTTGATGTCATACACAATTATAACAATTTCTTGTCAAGTTGAGCTTTCTCATGTTGAAAAGAAAGACCTGCCCATGTTCCTTATCATCTGCAAACAGGACCTCTTCAAACTTCAGGTAGGTAGATTAATTTGGATGTAGACTTTCTTCTACGAGCAGAGAAATCAATAAAATAAGTGAACTTTAGGATCTAAAATAGTTTCGATCAACCTCTACTTCTATTTTCTAATCTTGACCATAACGACTAATCGCCCAACCAATGTTCTCAAAATCGTACTGACTCGATATTTTAAAGCCCTTAACACACCTAGAGTTGAATGAGAATCATTTTGTGTGTGTGTGTGTGTGTGTGTGTGTGTGTGTGTGTGTGTGTGTGTGTNGATGTAGAATTAAGGTCTCAAACTTAAGGCCGAAATCATGGACCTCTCTGACAAGAATTTTTACGCCCATAGTATAACCACGTTGTACAACAGAGTTTGCCTGAGCCAATCCTCAAGTTATCTGGGTCCCCCCATTATAAAATTTACACATCAATTATAACGAACGAAAAGGAGGTCCCTTGCTCAACAATTTGTGGACATTCCGATAGGAAAGGCATCCATTTGGACTTTTGCCCCCAATAAGCAATATCTTTATGACTCGCGACAAAATATGCCCGAAATTCTCATCCCAGACCACTCCCATAAACAAAATCAAATTTTGCATTCAATTGTGTGTTTGACTCCAATTTCCGACGGTGAGTGGAGATAGCAAATGGAGAGGTGCATATTTCGCTTTGTCCAAATGATAATTTTCGCTATAAACTATTGGAAGGAAACCGTGAATGTGGGGGGAGGGGAGGAGAGGAGGGGGGGGGGGGTAGATATTAGCAGCTACTTCCACCTAACCAACTTCTACCTAAATCCTTGCCCAACACAAGTGGTATCTAATGAAAACGCTGATCCCTTCAAGCACTTCTTATTTCAGAATGTTACGATACTTTATCACGAGGAAAAGGAATGCAAATTAAGGTCAGGAAATATTCGATCCGAAGTTGGAAGGAGAACTGACTTTGGGGTGAAACAAGCAATAATGCGCATAGTCAGTTAAATGTACCAAACTTTTGGGAAATCGATCTAATTAGACTCAGCCAAAATGAACAGCAATGTGTTCCTGATTAGAAGTTGAAGTGTACTACCTTTGGGAACTTATCGGCCAATGGTAGGTTGGTCAAAGATTACTCGTTAAACAATAGACACTTAAACAGGTGAAAATCGAGGCGTTGTGGCTCATAGAAAGCAAATGAACGCGATTCTGCACTTTGATTGGCTGTTTCTGAGTCGAGGCATTCGTCCCACTGTACTTAGCTTCTGATCGAGGCTCAGATGGCTAAAGCATAATTTTATGAGGGGGGACAAATTTGATGCACTTGTAATAGGTAGTCAATAGTGAGTGTCTGAACAGATCATTAATAGTTTAAGCCAATGAAATTAAGGGCAGAAATAGTGTAGTTTCCACTGGAGTGGGTCAAACATAATTGGGGGATAAATTATACATCATCGTTACATTGCGCAAATCTGAATTGTTATCCCTCAATATACACCAAATGATGTGAATGGTTACTTGAATCCGACTAAAATAAGACTTAAAATTGTGGGATTACTCATTCCTAAGCTCACCAAATTTCAGGTGTCAGCTCTCATCTAGAAGAAGACTACTTTGAAGTGATGGCAACTTTTTGTTTATTTCCATGGAACAGAGCTATCATCATGCGAACTATTCCACAATGTTTAGTGAATTTCTCACATATACTGAAGACGAGCAGGGTTCTCCTTAAATATTCGACCTCCAAGCGACTCACTTCCCATTTTATGCCACTCCTACTTAAATCTATTCAGTAAGCATATTTTATCGAATCACAGAATAATTAAGGAAGAATAGCTGAAAATGAAATTTCACATATCAACTATTCCTAGTTAAACTAGTGTTCAAACCGAGTGGGTTCAGAGCGTTTTTTTTCCCCGAAAATCTACAACAGCGTCCAATGTTCACTCAAAATATGAAGAAAACGTATCGAGCAAAAAAGGCTTATATCCACTGAAGTTCGCAGAAATCATGATTTACAAGTTTATTCCGTAAATACATAAAATAAACACAAGTCAGCATTTCACAAATTCACTTTGATTTTTGCTGCGGTCGTTGATTCCTAAAGGGACACAATGAAAAAAGCATTAGCAAGGAGAGGAACGCTCACAAGGCAGATTAGGAGAAAATGGAATCGAGATTAACCTACTTCTCGATATTCTTTCGTCGTTCTTGCAAGCTACGGATATCCTTATTGGCCGTTTTCTGGGCATGGACAATTTTTCTGTACAGATTCTTGTGTTTCTTGGGGAGCATCATTTCACGCAGTTTACGTTGAGCATTTTCAGCCTCACGCTCGGCCATTCTTCTCGACAAGTCGTCCAAAGGCTTGCCAGGTGCAACCACTGTTTTGCCTGAAATCAAGAGTTGAAACAATCAAAGTTGAGGATCATACGTTGCAGGGCCTCAAGACATTATGAAATTCGGCGTGTCTGTGTGTGTGGATTGGGAACGGTATACCCGCTAATTTGACCAGTACAAATGGTGTAATGTATAATTTCCTGCATAATTATGCAAAAGGGATAAATAACATACCCTTCTTGATTGCCTTATTGATCTTATTCTTCCTCTTCTTTTTATTCATGCTGGTCTTTATAGTTGCGACCTCACCACCCTCTTCAGCCTCATCATCCACTTCCATTTCTTCCCGTTGGCTTTGACCTTCCTCAGTTGCCTCAGCAACAGCAGCTCCCCTAGTTTCGGCAAGTGAGACCAGACCAGCCAGGTAATCCATCTCCGGCGGCCGATAAAGAGTTGAGCCGGCACCGAATCCTGGTGCAGCATTAACAGCAGCTGCTTGTCTGAGTGCATCGGCCATACCCATTGATCCACCATTAAGCGAGTCGGCAACAACGGAGGAAGCGGCGAAAGGCGAGAGATGGGGTGGAAGAGTGGCGGAGGGAAGGTAGTCCTGAACGGGCATCAAACGACCGGCATTGAGACTGTCGAAGACCCATTGAGGCTGAACGTAGGCTCTGAGTAGAAATAAGGGAAAAAAACTTCGCGTCAAATAACACGAAATTTGAATCGCGATTTAAGGAGAGATTAAGGCTCAAAAAGCCAATTAACAATTAAAAGGAACCAAAAAATAAAATAATCGTGTTTATGTGCTCTACAAGACGATATCCCCAGCAAGGAAGAAAATTCATGAGTTCAATTAGCTATACTGAAAGATTGTTTCAGTTCACGACGATCTATGCGTGCATATCACATTAAATCAAATGAAAAATTTGGGATAATTGTTATTTCAATAATAAAAAAATCATAAGGTATTTACTAATAAGTCATAATCTCATTTCTAGAGTGAGAGATAATAACTTTAAATGACAATTTTAATCGTTGGATTATGGATTTTAATGAGTATTACTATATCAGTAATGGCTACGCAATGGCCTCCAGGAAAGCAGAACATTATCAGAACCAATAATTAAACAAGGATGCCCACTTTAATAACTGATCTTAATCATCTAAATGAAATCGACCAAAATTAGGTGGTACACCAAGAAACTCTAGCAAGAGCATAAAGAGAAACGAGGTTGTAGCGGACATGAGGCTAGGGACACCTAGAGAACGATACGGAGAATTACACAGACCAACACCGCTCAAGAAAATATGAATGAAAATTGATGTTCTAGTCGAAAGATTCCAGAATGCTACTCAATGTCATCATAAGGTATCAGACACGTGCAGTACTGAATAACATTTAATTGATGGAAGTGCAACCAACCAGGGACATTTAAGGCAACTGACCCATTAGTATGTTTAGAATTAGTAAAAAGTGTTTGAGTGGAAAAACTGCACGCAAATGCTTTTGCTTAGAAATTCGAATAAAAATGATCTAACTCACCGAGTTGCCTTCATGCTATGCATCGGACGATCGACTATTTGGAAATCGATACGATCATCATCCTCCGTATACGTGGCTCCAGGGCCAGAAAGAGGATCCCATGAACAATCTCCACCACATGAGCGAATAATCACTGAAAGCACTTCCTTAGGCACCTCACGATTGAAAAAAAATCGCTTTCCCTCGAAAAGATGCTTAATTTTTTGGACCTGAATCTGTTTATTTACAGCAGCTGTGACAGAGTCATCTATTGCCTGAAAAGAAAAGAGGTTTACCCGTTATCCAAGCGATGAAATTGAGAAAGCTTTAGAAAGGTAGCAACATACTTGGAGTTCGACCAAATCATCCATTTGTTCTACATCGACCTTCTCTTCCTCATGACGTTTAATTGGAATCGATAAAGAAGCTAAGAACTCGAAATGAGCATTCTCAGGAGCACAGTAAACTGAGGTTGGGTTATTGATTGCTTGAGTGTTCAATTTAGGCGGATAGAGAAGACCAGCCTGTTTGTAAAGGCTAAACACAAAAAGAGCGGGATAGAGGGCAAATGCGAAACTTACTTAACAAGTAACGATCCGACTAATGTGACATCGAACTCGACACAGGTGGCCAAGAGACGATATTCGACACCTGTTGGAACATGAGATGCAGCATTATGAGGGATAACCCAGACAACCGGGACATCGTCAATAATGGCTTCCAAATAGAAACCTTTAATGCTGATGAAAGCCTTTCGAATGCAGCGCATAGCAATAGTGTAATGGAGGAATTCCACTGCAAATCTTCGACAGAGAGATATCAATGCGGGATGAAATTGTGTCAAACGAGGAAGACGTGAAAAGAGGAAGATTAGATTGAGACTGTCTGTTAAGTCCAGGAGGGCGTCCTTACGAGTGGGATATCGCTCACGAACCAATTGATGAAGAGTATAAGTTGGTTTAGTCATTCTCAAACGATATTCCTTGTCTCTATCCAACTTTTCGCGAGCCCGCTTTAAGCGCATTTGATGAGTTCGAAGTTTACGGAAGGTTTCAATCAGAGGCTCCCATCTAAGGAAAGCAATATCTCTTCGATTGAAATAAACTCTCGGCTCGGTACTTCCATGACCAGCTTTCTTAATATTCTTCGGCTCAACGGGATAAATTCCTTTAAGCAAACAAATACGACTACAAGAAATAACTATTTGTCAAAAGAATATTACCGAAAATTAGGTAAAGATATCTGAAGCATTCTCATAGCCTGCTTCTGAGTAATGTAGGTGACAGCATGTCCCTTCGTATTCTTTTTTATCTTCCTTGCCATGTTGCAAATATGCGAAACGACGGCACGCCAAGGAATCACAAATGTCCCACCAGAAAAGCAGTTAGTCAAAACAAAATTTAGAAACATTTATTTGTAAATCTTAATACAAGATTTATAACAATTATTGTTAAAATTCAAATTTTTTAAGTATTTAAAGTACCTTTATATGATTTGTATTAATTTAAACTTCATAATCAATGCAAATATTTTCATTTAATTCTAATTTTCTTACTATGCTATAAATTAGTGCATATGTTGCCCGATTAAGGTATTTAACACGCATAATTCAACTTGCACAATAATTAATCATAAACCGAATTTTTATTTAATTATTAATCGAATAGAAATTATCAGTAATTAATAAATATACGATGGCGAAATCTCTTATTCATTACTTAAATTAATAATCTCTAACTCTGAAATGAAGAATTGCCATGAATATATTATAATAACATATTTACTTATATCGCCAATGCAAGTAATTTTTCTCTTAAATAACATTTTTTGTGATGCTCTTTTTCTTGTTAGAATTTTAAATTATTATTTTGTGCTGCATGTTTACTAATCATTTCAAAATCGTTGATCTTCTTATTTCGGTTCCTGTTTCTCAATAAATATTGGCTCTATTCATTTAGTTAAATTGAAGTGACAGCCTAGTGTTTTATCAAATTTGCTAATATTCGTCATCGGCTATTAGCAAATTAATTTTTAGCCACACACTTAATCAAAATAAGGCAACGTTTTCACGATTAAAATACTTGCGTTTATGTAACTTGCATGATACATAGGATATTTAATGATGCTACAATATGAGGGTCTTCGAAAACCACATTTTGATATCCTAACGTACATGAAAACATCCCCGAAACGGCGTAAATCGGTGTGCGATCTTTATAGTTACTGGAAATATTTGACTTCATTTCCTTTTAAAATCAATATATTTTCTCGTCACAAACTGAATGACATATCATATCCGTAAAATTACTGACTCAACTTTTGCAACTTAAAAAATTAGCAGATTTAAAAATCGTAGTCAGCACTTCCTTTTTCTCACTAGCTGTTATCTATCATATGAACAAGTTAATTGGACGCCGAGATTTGGGCCTTAAAGTGTGCTTATGCCTAATTTGTGCGCATTATTTTAATTTGTACGGCTATTTCCAGCGTGGGTATTATTTTAGATGACTTATGCTGTAAGACGCCTCCCACTGAAACACTTTACTTTTTATTCTTTTCCAAAGTTTATTCCTTGAATAATTCAATTCAATGAATGTTTCATCGTAAAAATTAGTCGGTAAATCTTCAAATGCAAATATATCATCTCAGTGAAAGATCAAAGAGAATTTTATGTGGTAGATGATGAAGAATATAGTTAACATGTGATTATTTACTAATGGTGAGGTGTGCGATAGACTTACCTTCACGTGGTGCACCCTAGGCAACGTATACTCATACGGCAAAAGGGTTTATTAACCGGTAGTTGACTTCTCATTTCAATTACCATGGGTTTATTAACCGGTAGTTGACTTCTCATTTCAAACAACTATCACCCATACAGTATATCAAATTCGACCACTTTAACAGTACTCATCTTACCTTTTCTCTGCATTTGTGTCCATCTGCCTTTTTACACTTGTGAATCACTCTTCTTTCCAAGATCTAACATTTTTCTCACTATGTTGTTCCTCCTCTCAGTGAAGCCAGAAGTCAGGTAAAGGGTTGATGATAATTATCAAAACCCCTACCACTTGAAATAAATAAATATGCAATTTTTACTAATGAAAAAGGGTAAAATATTTGATGAACCATAAGAATGACGCGATTCATACCCTTGTGTGACCGGGAGTTTGTTCCATCGATACAGAAGAGAATACTAAAAGAACAGTTCAATTTAATATTACAATTACGTAGCTATTTTTCAATCAAAACAGTATATAGGCTAAACTACAATAAAATTTGTCCATGTAATTAAAAAGGTAATGCAAAATATAAATCAATACACCTCGATCTATTGAAAACATAAAACCTCTTGAGAAGTCTTCTCATATGGTCCAGTTTGCGAATTGCATTCTATTTTAAGCAGTTAAATAATTCAGAGAGAAAAATAAAAAATTATTTGATTTGGTGATGGATGAGATTGTAACAATTTGATTTATATATGGGATAATTTTACTATTTATAATTCTGATAAATAACAGTAAATGAAAGCCCAACAAAATAAAAGATAGAAGGGACTAATACTGTATAAATAACAATATCCTTATAGCAAACGATTCCACCTTATATCCTTTTTTGATTTGCGCTGTAGAATATTTTCTTGAGTAAAAATACTCCATTTTTTCAATTTTGCGTATACTGTTATTAGGGCCCATTGAATGGCAATATTTAATCTCTTTACTTACCTCTCGAATGAAGGGGTGAACTTCAGCTTAGAGTGTTAACAAAGCTGGTTCCATTTATGGAGGACACAGAAACGGTACTTTAATTAGAATTTTACCAATGTCATCTAGTTGTTCCCTTACTTACTTTGAGTCATTGGATTTAAGGCTGCCCTTTGGCAAATATGCCTCATCTATCTTGTTGACTACTTGTAAAAGGAGTTTTAATTTGGGGAAGATCATAAAATACAACAATTGATTAACATATTGCCATACATTACATTCACATAAGGTTTACTAGCCCTTACAATATATTCTGAGTTCATGTTTATTTTTTTCTTATATTTTGGATCAAATGCATTCTTTATATATAAATCCGTTTCTATACTACGATAACGATTACTAGGCCCTCTTTGATGTTTATTTATTTTTAAGGTCATGTGGTAAATTTAATAATAATTGGCACTGGCGTTCTAGTCAGTTCTGATGGTTAGAAGGGTGGAACTTTTTCGTTGCCTACAGGGACTTTTATCGGTTTACAAACCTTCAGGTCAGGAAACAGCACAATTTAGAACTCGACTGGCAAAAAAGGTAGCCAATGGTAAATAGAGCTTATAATAATAATAATAGCTAAGAATTTAATAAGTTACCATGGGAGCCTGTACGTATTCGCACAGCCATTTTGGCCAAAAATGATGATAAGCTACCGACAATTACTACTGAGGCTGACTTCGTAGACAATCCGCTGGGTTTGTGATACTTTTTTCCCATAAACTTTATTTTTAGTAATTGGTCGAAGATTTCTCCATACTGATGTGGTCCTTAATTTCATCGATCCATTACCCGATTATGCATCAGGTGTCCAACTAATAGGCATAGGAGAAGTTGGTGCCTATGCATACAGTGATGCAATTCACAAGAACGTTTATCCAAAATCTTATCACCTAACCGGAATGTTTGGTCACGCTTCTTCGAATGGTTTGTCCACCGGTTCCACAATCTATCGGTCACCATGGAGGCATATAACACGTCCAAAAATAGACCGAATTATCGCGTCAATCCAATTTAAAGCACGTTCAGCCTCTCTCCTCCAGGCTGGTTTAATTCCAAATTCCCAAAAGGCATTTGAAGCCCTCAGCAACCCAGATCGATTGACCAAGCCCCTCAAACCAATGTTAGAACCTCTGGAATCGCTTCCACCCGACCACGTGACTGCATATTGGGACAGACGACCGGAACCCACTCAACCCCACTCCCTTCGAGCCAGACCCGACCTCAGCTCAGTTCGACAACTGCCTCCCGCTTTACTTTGTATACGGTGCATCAAGTTCGAACCACCGTTTTTCATCTTAGGTAATTTTTTCTCGTTTACCTGATATTCAGATAGTGAAACTCGTTATTGATATACTTCGCTTATTTTATAGAGATTCAAGTTGCCCACGAGACAAGCGAGTTTCTAACCGATCTTGTGGTGAATATAGGAGGAGCATTAAAGTCAAGCGCTGTTCTCTGCCAAGCTCGACGTATTCGACATGGACCGTTCGGTGTAGAGAACAGTCTCCTATTAAAACAGTGCTCTGTTTCACAGTCTCTTTACGATAGACTCAACCAACTTAAGTCGGAGCCTCCACCAGAAAGGGATTTTGAAAGTGATGATGAGTACAGGGAATTTCTACTCTCTCAACTTGTTGAGAATGCAGATGGGCAAATGGATCTCTTTGGAAATTTGGTCAAATGCACTCTGGATAAGAGGATTAAAGAGTTGGTCAAGGCGCCGAGGGAGGAAGAACACCGCAAATAAAGCCAATTTGTACAATTTGATTGTATGCATTTGTGAATAGGGCAGATTATTTTCACTTTCTACTTAGTCTTCTTATTTTGGGGGATAGTAAAATAACAGTGTATCAAAATAATTAGATGCACTATTTACTGCTATAATCTGTACTGACCAATCATTGGCTTCACGAACAGTTGTTGCATTTGACTACAATTGTAAGTCACTTTTGACGCCATCTGGACTGTTGGTGGTGGTATCTCTTGGTGTTCAAAATTTAATTTTGCACAACTGCTCAAATGTAGCTCAGGGTTTATTGGATCGGACAGTAATACTGAGGCAGTGACAAAACCTTAATTTAACATTGAAAAATTGAGCAGGACAGAAAAGAAATTCTATGACTTATTTTTGACCCCTTTTGTCAAGATTTCTTTTGTGGAGAACTAATCTATTGCCGGGGTTTTTGCCGAAAACCCGCCCACAGAGCGGTTAAGCGGAAAATTCCATTTCATGAAACAAATGCAGAAATTCAATATTTCACCTAAGAAGAGAACGGGCAGTTATTTGGATGGACGAACTTTCAGGAAACCCAGGCGCACTTTTTACTAAGTGCTGTTTGATGGCAAGGGCCTTAAGAGACCCACTAATTATTCGGCAATAACTTAATATTTACTCATTTACTAGTTTCTTCTAATTACACATTTCGGAAAAAACGAATTTCGCTTTGAGGCTGAATTGTAAACTGCTCCATTTTCTTCCATATTAAGAAAAGCAGATTGAAGATCGTGCCAACACACGCAAATGAAGTCAATTCTCCCGTACCTCAGAGAGGGAGGACAAACATTTTAGGAAAGTTAAAACAAAAGTGGTGAAATGTCATGTGCTAATTAATTGCCCATTTTTGGAAGGGGGGGGGGGCAAATGTTCCCATACATGACGATTGGCAGCAACTTCAAGTGCCTGATTTCTAGACGTCCCAAGTCCTACAAAAGACAAGGATGGTCAAATCATGATGTGTCAGAATTGCATAGCCCCAATCAATCTTCCAGGAACTTTTCATACGAAGCTATTTTTAATTTTACAGGCTCAAAAGTACCAAGAACTGGTTCATAGCCCATAAGCTAGGCGGAGTTTGGAACAATAGAAAGTCTCCAAGTCTGTAAACCAAATCCCACGCCCTCACCATCAAAAGCCATAATTCCATGTTTTTCATAGCTACCTCCCCCCACACACATTATGAGAATAATGAAACCACTCTGTAGTGAGATTTTGTCCCTTTAATGAAAATAATAATAATAATAATAATAATAGCAGTAATAGTAGTAATAGGAACCGTGTTTGCTTGAGTGTGTGTTAGTGAGTGTAGAATAATGTGATTTTGGATGCAAGAGCAGGAGAGACAGAAGGAGGTTAGTGATCGCCGAGACGATCTCTCGATCAGGATTTCACATATGTGTTGCCTGCCTCTTCGTTAGGATTAAGAGTAAATAACACGAACAGAGGGGGGGGGGTGTGGGTGGGGAGGGAGAATATAATGATAGAGGGGAGAGGTCATTTTGGCGGCAGTGACAGTAGTTCTTAGAAGCAAAACATCAACTTCTCTCTCAATGAGGTACAAAGAGAATGGGATGAAAGAACCCAGCCAATTCCGAGCCTCCAGCCCTAACATCTGTCCCACCACCACCATTCTGTCCTCCCATCATTAATTGTGGTGGAGGCGGTGGTGGTGTGGATGGTAACTGTTGTGACCTAGAGGGCGTATATCGATCTACTCGGGTTCGCCTGCCTCCTTCAGAGAACACCAGCACTTCCTCTACTTCGCCACCTTCAGTCTCTCGAAGTTCATGATCAGCTGTCGATGCAACGACCGTTGCCGTGGCAACCGTCATTTCTTCTGGCCAATCAACTCCCGTACCAAGTCCACTAACAATGACCTCACTCAGAGATCCCTCGTCTGCACTTCCTCCCGTTGCTACAGCCGTCGATGTTGAGGGTCCTTGAATATCTCTGGGGGAGCTCTGCACAATAGTGTTTCGGAGTCTTCGCCCAGAGGATGATCTATGCCGAAGGTGGGATGAAGATGCAGTCGAAGAAGCGGTAATAGGCGAGGGAAAATTGGCGAGCAGAGGAAGAGGAGATCGTGCTCCACTACTTACTGCCGATGTATTCGACGTGGTCGTTGTGGTTGACGTCACGACCAATGACGAGGTGGCAGATCTATGGTGATGGCGATGTCCTCTGGAGGACGATGACGTAGCAGCCGTTGCTGTTGCGTAGATAGCTGACGCCGAGGGGATAGTGAATGAGGTGGCTACCGTGTGCGAAGGGGTTACAGTGCTGCCTGCTGAAGATGTACTAGTATGATTGTGAGGTTTTCGATAGTGTGCCGACTTTGGGAAATCTGAAAACAGTCCGGATCGACTTCCACCTTGGCCATCCATCACAATGTCTTCCAATAATCCTATTCCGAGCTCCAAGAGGGGATATCGTGCCTTACCCATATTCACTTCGAGAAAAAAAAGATTAAAACTTAAAACAGTGTCTTTCAAATACATACAAATGCGAGTAGTCAGCATACTTACTTAAAATAGCATTGCTAACAGAATCGGCAAGGATTTTCCTATGTCTGGGATGAATTAAATCTGCAAAAGGACTCTCGAGGGGATTTTCATAGGCGATCAGAGAAAAAGCGTCCTAAAACAACAACAAACAAATAGTTGCAACTACTAATAATATTTAAGTAGAGAGAAGTGGATGACACCGACCTGCAGTAGGGTTAGTTGGCTCATAGAGAGCACGTTTTTAGACTGCAGTTCTCGAGCAGAGTCTCGCAGTTCCCGGCCCATTTTGACGATTCCGCCGAGATCTGATGGGTTCTCCATCGCAGCGTTTGACACCACAGCAACTGAGTTGTGATTAGGAACGGCAGAATTGGGAGGATCATCATGCTTAACAACTCCATTCTGGATGGGAGCCTTATGATCAGTATCTACTGGAGTTAGTGATGCACTTTTGGCAAAACTTCTAGGGACAGCGGTAAGAATCTTCCTCTTCTCCTTTAAGGCGACACCATTCTAAATAGGGATATAAAAGCGTTAACTACGTGCTCCAATCAGTAAGTTGGAGTGGGTTACTAAGAGACTGGAAACAAACCTGAATTGCTGGTCTGGATTTTTGAAACATGGCAATTGCTCCATTTTCTTGAGGAACGCATTCAATGTGAATATCGTCGTTTTTTCCCACCTCATCCCAAACATTTCCATTCACACTACCATTGGTGCCCTCGCATTTTCTGCGAATTGCAGGCGTCTGTATGATTGAGCCACTACCCAAAAACGAGCAGTCAGTGGGTGAACAAGTCAAGGGGCGTTTTTGAGGTCCTAGTGCCTTTCCGTTCTTCTTACAATCTGTCTTGGGTGAGGTGGGATTAGTTCTAGCAGGAGTAGCAAAATCAGACTGTGTGGAGACACTGTTTGCGGATTCAGGTGGTCGAAGATTGTTGAATAGCTGAATAAACAAAAGGGTGCCACTTAATAGTTATACGTAAAATGTGGAACAATTCTCAATACGCATTCTCATTTACATTTCACTAGAGCGAGGTAGCTTTATCATCTTAATGATTCCTACCACCCAAAAGGAACGTGATCCTTCAGTTATTACAAAATGAAAATTCTTTAATTGCCATCAAGTAAAGCAAAAGTTAATTACAGTGTGTGCAAGTAACTTCATCATTAAGGCGCGTATAATGAGAAAATTTAAGACACAATACGTGCCAATAGCACAAAGGTAGTGTGCGCACCAGTAGAGCTGACTGTAACACTCAAAACTTGATGAAAATTAGAAGTGGGACTCAAGTTTTGAGCGATCAAAAGATGCGTCTACTCAGTCAGAAGTCACGAGAAGATTGCTCATCCGTTGAAGTGACATTTCAAGACCTCTCTTAAACCTTCAACGCCCTTATGACCGTACGATCCTCTTTCAAAATAAGCTCCATTGGCACTAGAACTCATAATAGGCGATATTGATTGAAACATGTTCAATGCGTGTCTATAGCCTTCACCTGACACGCCACCAAAAATCATCCCATCGGCGGCACCAGTCTGCTGTGAGACACGCGTGAGTGCGGTTGGGTGCATTTTTCACCAAAGAAGTAAATAGCTTAAGTGAACCATTATATGAATACTACATATCGGGCGTAGTTTGAGTTGAACCGCAAGCAATTTCGATATGAAAAGACGAGTATATTTGAGATATTTTAGGCAGAGAAAGTATAGCACGATATAAATTATTATCAATGATAGTCAAAACAAGAAGACAACACCACATTTCATTCATTGAGTAGGCAATATTCTCACCCACCCTCCTCCCACTATTGATACTAAGGAATGATTGAACTTATAATAATAAACTCTGACTCAAGTTATAGGAGTTACCGTTACGCCACCAGACACACACAGAGAAGCATAAAGCACGCACGCACCCACACACACACACACACACACACACACACCGGGTAGAATTTATTTGTGTGAGGGAAAAGTGAAGGTAAGGGAAACGAGGGTAGATTGTAGTGACTGTCGTAATATCATGGATGCACATATTGAAGCCCAGTTCGGTGTGTCAGACACATTGTTGTACTTTTTCATGTGATCTCACCTAACTACTCGCGGTGCACTAAATAATTTGGCTTCTCATATGAGTTTCAGCTCCCTTCCGCCCCTCCCCCCCCCCCCCCCCCCAACCCCAGAGTCCGTCGAGTGGTGGTGCCCCGCTGCCTCGTTAGTTACCATTATTATTAATAATAATTGAGAGGGCATCGATTTTTTTTCCAGCGAAGTAAATCCTCACCCATCTCTCTCACTCTATGAGTACAAATGACTCAACTGTGAGATAAGGAGACACGGCTGCAAACGGTAATCATGGAAAGAATGTAGACAAACAAATTGAAGTCAACACATCCATCTATTGGAAAGTGGACTGGAAAGGGGGGGGGGTAGAGACTGATGGTGACCCAAAACAAAGGCAACCAAGGTGGAAGATACTTTCGATTACTGGGTCTGTATCTCGAAATAAATCAAATCTGAGCCGAAATCCTGACTAAAAAGCTCAAGAAGGAAAGCAGACATGATCGAATCTCCATCCACAACCCTCAAGATCAAACAGGTGAACAATCAAATGACTGGCTCAGAAAACAGAGAGAGAGAGATATTGCGTTGGTTGGAGAAGAAAGGCAGTGTGGCCGACGGACCAGACAGCAGCGCTGTCGGTACACTTGAAGTGGTGGCGGTGAGCCAGGAGACGATGAGGGGGGGGGGATACGAGGTGGTGAATGTGCGGATAAGCCATTAACGAAACCAGACGCATAAAAAGCTACTGCGCGCAAGCGAGAGAGCGTTCAGCTCCCTAAAACCGAAACCAGACGCTGTTTGAACATTTTGAAGCAAAATCACTATGCCACGAATTTGGAGTCTTGGCACTCACTACCTCTCCTCTTAATGAACTACTATGAAGTTGCCCACGATTATGACCTGGTAGGTGGTTTGTTTGCTTTGTCGACAATAACGTAACGGAGTAGTATGCTCACTCATACAATGCGTTTGCATCTCCAAGCCTAGCTACCTACTTATTTCTTTTTCGTTTCTTAAATATGTGGTACTCAAATGAGAACTTTTTAGTCAGATAAGAAGGGCACGATGGCGATAACGTGCAGAGAGGGACAAAAATATGACCCCCGAAGACCCGCAAAGCGAATCGTGTGTCCAATGGAGAGGAGATGCACACAAGATCGTATGACGTCATCGCTCAGACTTCCAGACACGATCAAATCAATTCAAGATGCATTTGGCAAAAAAATAAGAATATGGAATAAAATATTAATAGAAGTGGGGTGTGCGATAGACTTACCTCCACGTGGAGCACCCTGGGCAACGTATATTCATACGGCAAAAGGGTCTATTTACTGGGAGTTGACTTCTGACTTCAAGCTACCATCACCCCACTGACTGCGTCATATTCGGCTACTTCCACAGTACTCACCTCACCTTTTTTCTACCTTTACCGCCTTCGTCTTTGAAACACTCTTCTGTTCTCCCCCCCCCCCCCTCTCGACTTGTTTCACTTTGATGTTCCTCCCCTCTGTGAAGCCTGAAGCCAACTAAAGGGCTAATGATAACTTTCACAACGCCTGCTATTTGATATAAATAAATAAATAAACAGAAATAAATATTAATAGAAGTTAGGCGCAATTTTCTCATGCAAAAATGCCCTCAAAATAAACCTCAAACACGAAGGTCTTAAGGACACCCGCCCCGCCCCCCAGAGCTACGTAACTGTCACGATTTCAAGAGTAGCAAAATGTACTGCGCGATTGAAGAACACGCTTTTACCTCTTATAGAGCATATCCATGATGTGAGCAGTTAACCGAATGGATTAGATAAAAATTGGCGGCGTAAACGAATTCTATCGGCAGAATTTCGATACCAACTCAAACACAGATGTGTATTTGGCATCACCCTTAGCAGCATGTGTACCTGACGGTAGAGGAAATGGATGGAAACCGACAGCAAAACAAAAATTTCTTTTTTTTTTGGCAGGGGACATTCAACTAGGAGACCGAAATGGGGCCAAATTTAGGCAGATTTCGACATACTTTAAAAGTGCAAATTTCGAAAGAGAAAATTAGTTTGTAAACTTCGAAATTAATCAAATTAATTTTTCCAAATAAATGTGATTAAATGCAAAGCAAAGTGAGCATCTCATTCAAAAGTCACGTGGAGTTCAAGTTGACCACGATATTCCTACTAATTTTATATCGATTTTTCCCAGATTTTGACGAGAGCAACACAGACACAGACAGCGCAAAAGGGGGATTTAACATGGAAGAAATGGGCTCTCGTGTTTAATCAGATTGAAGATAACACCGTGGCGAGAGTTGATCGTATTTTCCAAGCTCCTTGTGGATTCGCAAGTCCCATTCCCATATCTAAAGAGCAAAATGACTAGAATCCTTATTTTACTGGTTCTAGCAATATGATAAATGGGCATCCCAAGTCCTGGACGTGCGATGTGACCTCTGATGCGGCAGATATAGATGTTACCTTTCCTTTAGATCCAAAAAACTTCTTGATAAAATAGTCCACTTGGTGGCTATAGGTGGCTCCCAAAAATAGGCTAATAAAAAGTTCAGAGCTAATTCTATTGAAATGAAGGCTGAAATTTAAAACTACAACATAGACCTGTACCCTTTTTTTGATTATAGAGCAAACCCCAAATATATGACAGTTGAGTGAACAGAACTACAACACAATTACAGGGGGGAAGAAAAATTGATTTCCCCAGGTGCCAAAAAAGCAAATAAACCGCTAACATTAGCCACCAATCAAAAGTTAGCAATCGTGAGACTAAAACAACCACCTACCAGTTCGATGAAATAACGACACCTAAGCGTAAAAATGATCGAAGGCATAGTCGCGACCAATTTGGTATAATCGTGGTTCAATCGCTGAATCGCCTCCTCATAATGACCTTGAGTTATAAGTTCGACTAATTGAATTCGTCGTTTCGCTGTCTCTAGCGTCTCAGGCCATGGGCTGCCACCGCCACATTCCAGATTTTCATTTTCTCCTCGTTCTGCTAGCGGTTGAGGGGGTTCAAGAGCAGGCTCCATGGATAAAGAAGGATGGAAAACGGAGGAGGAACCGGATGCCGAAGGGATGGGTTTGATTTCTGGGGTTGTGGGGGTAATCTCTGGTTCTGTCATTGGTGATTCCAGAGAAGATAGTCTCTAGAAGCAGGAAGAATGAAAAAAAAGTTGAGTAATCCAGTATTAAAGACGATTTCATGATTAGCTGTTAAAACATAGATAAGGGTGAGTTTAGTGACTAGCATGATAGTATCCACTTCCACCCATAATACGGAAACAAACTCCCCCCTTCCCCAAACCCAGCATTCTCTCTTTTTGGATCAAAGAGACTAGTAATCCTGTCTCTGCTAGAGCCACTGTTTGGAATGCATTAATAGGATGGCAGTGTTAATAGCAGCTGCGGCTTACTGCAATTGAGCAATGGAGTAAATGTGAGAAATGGAACAAGGTGCATGACAAAGGAAATCACCATCACTCTTCCTAACATTTCATCAAGTGGTCGAAAACTTCAGCTCAGAGAGATAGGTATGTGTGTGTGTGTGTGTGAGCAAGAACGATGATCGCGTAAAAGCGCATGAATGGCAAAAAATGCTTCAAAACAGGAAATTCTCGAAAGAATATCCAAAATTCTCATTGAGTTGGGGACACACAACAAGAAAACCAAGGCGAGAAAGTGGAAACAATATCAAAAGCTGTGAAAGGTGAATAAATGTTGCTGCTGCGAAGAAGAAGAATTAAAATAAAATGGACGAAGGAAAGAACACGAATTATGGAGGTTGCACTCACCCACCTCAAAATGAATCGAGTAAATTAATACAATTATCGTCTAAATAACATCGCCATTTCTTGACACTTTGATAAAAAAGTTGGGAGGAGGGGCGGAGGGGCGGAGGGGCGAAGGGGGAGGGGGAGGAAAACACGTTCAGATCTGTGGAGGACTCAAAAGTGATAAAAAATGACAACCTATAATCGCAAGGTCCACGCTTATTGTCGCACAGGCCAAACTCCTCTCCCTTCAATGATAGGACAATAATGACAGCCAATAAGACGCTGCACACGCATTTATAAACAGCATGGTATAGGTGAGATCGCCGGGGAGGAAAGTGACAGGAATAATGAGTGCCGGGACCTGTAGTGGCTGAGTGTGTTCGTGTGCACGCGTGTTACATAATGATGAAGGTTGTGACGGTAGGAGAGGGAGAGAGAGACAGAGGGTGATATAATGGTGACAGGGTGCCGCAAGTTAGATTGGAGGGGGAGGGGGGGCTGATGTGTGACACGAACCTGAGGATGAGGGCTGGGGGGTAGCCTATTGGCTGGTGACTTACCTGGGACTTTCTGCGACGCATGGATTGGGTGAAGGTGGATGATGAAGGGGTCTTGAATAGTTCCTTCAGACTCCACTTTCTAGCCCAACGCTTCAACTTGGGGCTTTGGGAAGAGGAGTGCTGAAGTGGGAAGGATAAAGAATAGGCACACTAGCATATGGACACTGCTAACAGTGACAAATCGCTTTCAAGTGTCCAACAATGCTGCCACGAAATATACTCCGTAATTCCAAAGGAGCGAGAGAAAGAGAGAGAAAGTTTTAATTTTTTTCCACACACACTCCAACATTACGACATTGCCACACTACTTATTTACATTTAATCAACGACACAAATCAAATTCGACCCAATATAAACAAATAACGAGTCATTGACAAAGTTTTTTGCCCAGTCATGAAATGGATAGCTTAAATACCATTCGATTAGATGAACTCGTGTTAAAACGAATCCCTTCAGCAATATATCCAAACCTAAGGTTGAGAACAATTCTCAAATACAGGCACAAACTGAAACAAACAAACAAACAAACAGTTCAAGGGTAACAATCAACACGGTGTCGATACAGCGAATTGTATGTCAGCTCTGATACAAGATGCACCCGATGAAGGTGGTATGGACTAGCGTCGTTCCAACCAAATGTACAATGTGTGCCTTGGGGTTTTTACCGGCTATTCGACCGAGCTCGATTTAAATAACTCAAGCTATGCATCCCGGTGGAGCAGGAGAGGAGAGGGGGGGGGGACGATAAGCATTTGTGCACACACAGAATCTAAATTTCTCCTGACGTATCAACCTTGATGGTATCGATGTGACCAACAGGAGTGATGGAATACCCCTAACCTAAATGGACAAACTTTTCTTCCGCATAGCACACCTACATGCGCATTTGAAGTGCGCGAATACAAGATACATTGATTAACTAAAATGACTCAAAAATGGGTATTTTATATGGTAAATACGCAGAATTAGAGTCCTTCGTCTTCGAAGGGGTTAGGGGGGGGGGGGCGATTAACGATACCACACCTCACGAGTATTGGAAAACGCGTTCTTATATGTGGGTCAAGCACAGTTAGGGTGAAAACTTTCACTTCCTCTAGAGCCCTCAAAGGTGGAGCTGCCAATCTATTTACCACGATGCTATCAACTTTATTCAATAACGAGTGATTAACGTTAGTAATTCAATCACTGCTGTCAAGGTAATGGCAGTGCTTGGTTTATTTTTCATAAAATGACAGCTAACATGCATTATAATCCCAAGATTAAAACTGTTGTTGTAGTAGAATCAGCGTGATAACCCCTAACATGCATCAGAAAAGGAGGCGGGGAGGGGGGGGGGAAGGGGGAGGGGGGGGGG